TTTTTTTTTTTTTTTTTTTTTAACTCAACTCTAATAAACGGATATGATCAACTGTTTATATATATAATGTAACGAATTAAGACAAAATTAAAGAGACTTTATTGATAAAATATGGTGGGTTTTAAGTTTCCTCAAGTCGGTTTTGCCGAACAGGAAGTCGGTATTCTTTACACAAAGTCGGATTTTGATGAGAACCGAGGTGTTAAATGCAACATTCTATGTGTCGGGAAAGATCCTCGTATTGAGTTTCATTCAGCTATTTATAGTAACTTCCGGCCCGTCTTTGAGGAGTTTCGGCGGCATTTAATGCGGAATGACAGTGTAGGCACAACTTTTTCAGTAGGGGGGTCCCTTGGCAATGAGGTCTTCACGTGGGTCGAGGCGATTGATGGACATGCATTTAATGCGGTTTGCGGTGGCTAACGTCGGCAGGCTCTCACGGGTTACGACTTGACCTAAGTCGGTCTTTTTGATAAGGTCGGCTCACCTGTTTAGCCGAGGTGCCTTCTCGAACTTCGATTTCCTCGTTTTCTTCCTCCTTCTATACACGTGTCACCGATCCGACCTATGAGTTGGTTTTTATGCCAACATTATCAATATAATTAAATAATGTCAATCAATCATATTTATACATATCCCATTAATTTTAATTCACTATTCGTCAATTCACAATATTTTAACTAACTATCACATCAAATTTTTATTTATTTCATTTTAAATATTATTTTTATATACCAACTAACAATTAACTATACTACCTTTTTCAAAATTAACCAAACCAAACTAAAAAATCCAAACACAGAGAAATGCTCACCTACCCACAGTGGGCACAAGTTAATATGTCCACCGCGTAGGTGACATGCATTCATGGGTGATGTTAATATGTTTAAGAAAATACATCACCAATGACTGCATGCCACCTACGCGGTGGGCATATTAACATGTGCCCACCGAGGGTAGGGGTACATTTCTATCCAAACAAAACCAAAAAATTTCATATCCAAAACATGTTATTCACTTTTTACAAATGGGCTGCTCACTTTCCTATGCATTTAGGTAAACGGTAAAACCAAACAGAGCCTAAAACGACGGTCTCTAAATCGATAACGAAACAAACTCGAGACAATTATCTACGACAATTCATCCCAAAGTCGTCCCATTTTCAATTCCTTCAATTCACTTTGCTTTACTCAGTCGCATCGGTAGACTTCCATACATTTCAACACCGCCTGCTGCTAAACGAAGCCAATTCTTCTAGGTGCACTTTTTCGTCTGTCTATATGTATATATATGTATCTATAGATGCTTCAATTGGAGTTGCTTATCTATTTTAAATACAGAAATTGTCTGATCTGATTTTTATTTTCATTTCTATTTTCTCTCTCTAGATCTTGTGAGGGATGGCGGAGGAGATCAGTCACCCGTCGAGGTACGTCAAACTGACGAAAGAACAAGCGCCGCCGACGGAGGACATAAATCCCGGCGAGCTTAATCTGCCCATTGATGTTCCTCAAGTACTTTCTCTCTCTCTCTCTCTTCCCCTGATTTCTCGTTGATTTGTCATTCTGGATTTAATGAAAATTTGAGATTTCTTCCATTGCTCTGCGCATATTCTTTGGCTTCACGAGAAATTGGTGCTGATCGGGATATTTGATTGTAGTTGTCTGAATGTAAATCTTAGGGGTGTGTATAGTTCAATTGAAAATTTAAGAACTTTTTAAAACTATTAAATTATGGTGTATTCAATTGAAACTTCATTTATATTCCTGAAAAGTGCACTTGTATTCCAAAGAATCTGTTTTTGACTTTTTATAAATCTGCAGAAGTCTCAATCTATTCAACTAACCTATTAATCAAGGTGGTAAAACTGAGTGAGATTTATAGCTAGAATTTCATGAATTTCTTCAAATCCTCTGTTCTGTATAGGTGTAATGTACACAACTATATATATCTCATAAGTCATATCACTTTCACACTATTATTTCACGAGTAATGCTATAGGTACATAATGTTGTACATAGAGGTGTACATAACACTCACATTGAGTGGGACCTACTAAAATTAAAAAATCAAGTGGACCCCACTCCATGTGAGTGTTATGTACATCTTTATGTACATGTAGCATTTTTCTTATTTCACTCACTTATCTTGTGAGCACACTCTATTGTTTTACTTATTTATCTTGTGAGCTTGTATAATTTGTTTTTTACCTTCAAATTTTAACGTGAATTTTTATTTATTTATTTTTTTTATTATGCTTCTTATTTTTTATTAGGCTTATTTTATGTTTGTGCCAAGAATTTCACTTTCATCATTATTTCAGAATTTCACTTTCGTCATTGTCTTTTGACAATGTTTTTGCCTTGTAAAATGATATTATGATAATGTTTTTCAAATAGGGTAGAATGATGCAAAAAATAAAAAATGAAAAAAAACTTCAATAATGCACATGATGTGTCATGACCGGGTCGATTATGAATCTCATCCTACCCGAGACAAGTAACTAATGTTTGAGTTTGTGCTCGTTTAGTAAATGAATATTAGTCTCAACTCAAGTTTGACTTATTGAACCTCGCGAAAGCTTGCACCGGCTTTGCTCGTTTAATACCTAAGATCCTAAACGAGTTGCTCGTGAAAACAAAATATTTCTGCAAACAAGTTCGACACGGTTGGTATTTTATAAAACATACATAATGAGTGGTTCGTGAACAAAAGTTTGTTTTCGGTTAATTGTTCAAACTCATTTCATTTAAGAATACAAATGAGACCAGCATGAGCTTTCAACAGAATCAAGTTGTGTTTGCGAATGACCCAGATCGAATAACAATTCTATAGTTGATTCAACAAGTTTTAGAAGATTACTTATTTATTTTTACTCTGTTGCAAAACTTTTGTTTTTCTTCTTGTTGAATGTGTTTACTATTAGAACTCATATCAATTTAATACTTTTTTTGAAAAAAAAAAAAAAAAAACTAGCTTGATTTTATTGATATTAGTTATGATGTTCATGAACATTTCATGCAAAAATAATAGTTATATTGTAATTATATAAAAGACTCAGTAGGTTTTAAAAAGTATATGATGAAAATTTTTAAAGAATCTGATAAGAATTCTATGAAAATCTCAAAATGTCCACTAAAATAATTAAAAGTTTCACAAAGTCCACAAGTCACTCACTTTAAGAAATCTTAAAATTTCATTAAAAGTTTCAATTGAATACACCTCCATGGTATTCAACCTAGTAGTTAAACTTAGTAGTTCGTGGTCCTGGGACGAACTAGTTCTTTGATATTACTCTGAGTTTAAGTGTTGAACGAGATATTGAATATTTGTCGAGCATTGCTTTTAATTTTTGGGTTGTAATTCGCATGATTTACAACCCAATGCACATTGTTGACAATTCTCCTGGCATGGTGCTAATAATGGACTAGATCAAAATGACTCAATTAAATTCTAGTGCTTCTTCTGTTAGTGAAGTTTCTAGAAAAAAATATATCAAACGCAATGCACATTGGGTCGCTACGGAAACAGCCTCCTTGTATAATTACAAGGGTAAGGTCTGCGTACAACTGACCCACCAGACCCCAACTTGTTTGGAATATACTGGGTATGTTGTTGTTGTTGTTGTTGTTGTTGTTGTAATTCGCATGATGCTTTTACTAAATTGATGTAATGCCCAAGTTTGAATATTTGTGTGAGATTAGTGAATTATGAGTCTTGATCAGACTACCATTTAGACTTTTATGTCTCTGATTAGAAATAAACTTTTGTGAGAATTTCTCATTCCATTGGGAACTTATCTTTGTTGGCTGATAATGCAGTTGCACGTCCCCAAGTGCAATGAATGTGGACAGCCATTGCCAGAAAGCTATCGAGCTCCTGCAGATGAACCTTGGAATACAGGGATCTTTGAATGTGCTCAAGACCCAGAAAGTTGTAAGATCCTATTTATCTTGAGTGGAATTTTTCAAGTTGACGTAGGATCCAAAAAGCTGTGAATAGGTCAGGCAACAATACACGATCACTTTAATAGACAGCTCCACATCATTAGACCAAAGATGCTTTAACATCACAAGGTATCTTCGAGCTCGACTTTTTTGCCGAGACGAGGTACTATATTGGATTTGAATCAGATTTCGGGTCGTCTATATTGAGCAGGACAAATCTAGCAAGACAGCAATTAGCAACTTGGAGTTACTAAGTCTGGAAACTATTATTTGGTATAATAGCTGGGAAGTTGTGTTGATAGTTGATACTATGTATGTGGCAGAGGGAATGCGGAAGTTAATATGATTGTCATTTCTTACTAATAATACGATATTTTCCTCTGTCGGGCCATTGGATATCATTCTTCTGTACCAAAGCCCTAAGATTATATTAAGCTGTGATACTCTGTATGAAAACATTGCTTTATATGTTGGTTTCATTCAAACACACTCTTGAAATGAAGTAGTTTCTTAGCTAAATTTTCTTAGTGCTTGAAACTAATATACAACATGAACTATGTGGACTATCTGATGCTGCACATCTTGTCCAAATTGTTTTTCCATCTGTAATGATTAATTGTCACTCTTATTTGTCCTTTGGACCGGAAAACTGAGTATTCCATTTCCACGCATTTGATAGGTCAAACTTTCCAAAATTCTTGATTTAGTTAATTTTTATCAAATTGGCAACAGGTCGTACGGGGTTATTTTGCCCATGTGTCTTGTTTGGCCGCAATATTGAGCAACTGAAAGAGGACACTCCATGGACTGGGCCGTGCATCTGCCATGCCATTTTCATAGAGGGTGGACTTGCCTTTGCTGCGGGGACAGCAGCATTGCACGGTTTAATTGACCCAAGGACTATATGCCTGATAACTGAGGGATTGTTTTTCAGTTGGTGGATGTGCGGAATATATACTGGCATAGTGAGACAGTCGCTGCAGAAGAAATATCATCTCAAGGTTACAAAGCTTCCCATATTTCTTATATACCAGATTATACTTTGCTTTTCTTAAACGGATGCAGAACCTGAAAGCTAGCTAGGTAATTGTTTATTTCAACAATTCTGAGTTTATTTCAACAACGTTTAGGAAACTACAGATTTCGTACGTTTAAAGGTGAATTTTCCTTGCGTAGAGATTCTGAAATATGTTTTTCATTGAAGAGAGAAAATGTTTTGGAATGAACCACCAAGGAGTAATTCAACTCCAAAATCATCTGTTTTTTTTAAGTATTTATCCATGGAAGCAATGTGAATCTATTTTGCTGCTGATTTACTAGCTCTCGCATTTGTTTTTAATAATGCAGAATTCGCCGTGCGATCCTTGCATGGTGCACTGCTGTTTGCACTGGTGTGCCATATGCCAAGAGCACAGGGAACTGAGAAGCCGCTTATCAGACGACACTCCAATGCCAATGACAATAGTCAATCCGCCTCCCGTACAAGAAATGAATGCTTCGAGTGCCAGCCAACAATCAGCAACACTTAATTCAGGAGAACGAGTTAATGTAGAGATGCAGGCTTTGTAGAAATTTGCTTGCCATCAAGAGAAATATGTTGCTTGTAGATTTACTTCCAAAACGGGTTAAGAAGGTTGAGATCCATCATGTCATTTAACTCTAGGAATCCAAGTGATTTTACGTTTTAAGTCCTTGTTGTGGCTATTGTCAAATGGGGACAATTTTATGATCTCGTCTGAAGTTGACCATATTATGCGATTGCATTTACTTTGATATTTGTTTGAAATATAAATTTAAGCTTTTGTATGTTTTATTTTTTGAATAATATTTTTCTAGATAATTTAAGAAAATAAATTCCAGACAAAGTCATACACACATCACATCTTTTTAGAGTATTTTTCGAATTTTTATGTCCTCATGTGTTCTTAGTTTTCGATTTTTTATTTTTTTTTTTAATATAGGAACTCTCATTCAATAAAAATTTCTATTTTGTCTTTTTTGTTAAGTGTATATTATTTCAATTCAAAATTTTGCAATATTTAAAACGAAACTACAACATGCAAATTTATGTTTTTAATGTATATACAAATATGAAAAAATATTTTTTATATAGTAAAAATAATACAAATAATATCTGTAATAATATAACTAATTGATATATTAGTATCCCCTCTATATATAATTGCAGAATACGCTGAGCCTAAGTGGCAGTCTCGCACGCTTCAGAATTCTACTTGGCGAAAAAACATGTTTCGTAGTTTGGTTTGGATAAAAACTAACATTATTCTAAATAATAATTACAAGTTCGGACATTTCAAAAATATTGAAAAAACTAACTTGGTAATTTCATAATAGTTTGACTAATATAACCCTTATGTGTATGAGTACCTTTGGTAATTATACTGATTGACTAATATAACCTTGATTTTTTTGGAAGCTCTCAATCGACTCATTAATTTCCATAAAAACCTCAAATTAACCTAATAAAACATATATCTAATTTTAAACAATTATTGTTATTATTATTTAATTTTAAGAATCATTTTTTAACAATTACCCGTGTAGTTAGACATGGCCACGGGTCACTCGGCCCCCCGACCCGGCACGGACCCAGCCTGGATCCAGCCCGGTCAAACCTGTTGACCACGGGTCCGGGCCCGACACTGATGTCAAACGGGTCGGTCAAGGGTTATGTTTTTTCGACCTTGACCCGGCGGGCCAGGCCGAGTCCAATACATTGTTTTTGAATTTTTTTTTTTTTTTAAAAAATGTGGCCGGGTCCAAACCCGGGTCGGGCCCGGCCCGGCCCGCTGGGTCATGGACCCGACATGACCCTAGGTTCGTGCCGGTTCAGGGTCGTCGAAACCCAACTCGGTGGCTCGACGGGCCGGGCCGTGCCGGGCCGTGACCCGGTCCATTTTTTGGCATGTCTGCGTGTAGTACACGGAGTATTGTACTAGTTATACATAAAATAAAAATGATCAAGCCATTTGGTGAAAAGATAGTTGTAGAAGGATAATTTGAAAGAAGTAGCAAAAGCCATTTCCCGCTTCACAGAGCTGATTCAAACTTCACTGTCTCAAGCAAATGCCGCTCTTCAACAAACAAATCTGAAACCTCTACACTCTCCATAATCTCCTAAACTCCAACAGGGTGTTTTGATCTCCAAAACCCTAAGCTCTATCAATCCCCAAATCTCGACCAATTTCATTTCCAGAATTTTCCCCAAGAACAGAAAATGCACATAAAGGAAATCTGCTTGGAGGGTTTCAAATCCTACGCCACAAGGACGGTGGTCCCAGGTTTCGACCCGTACTTCAACGCAATCACTGGTCTAAACGGTTCGGGCAAATCGAACATCCTCGATTCGATTTGTTTTGTTTTGGGAATTACCAATTTGCAGCAGGTTAGGGCTTCCAATTTGCAGGAGCTGGTGTACAAGCAAGGTCAAGCTGGAATCACGAAAGCTACTGTGTCGGTAGTTTTTGATAACTCGGATAGGAGCCGAAGCCCGCTTGGGTACGAGGATTCTTCTGAAATCACAGTGACTCGCCAGGTACTTATCTGAGAAAGTATTGAATGGCGGGTTCTAGTTTTACTCTGAATCCCATGTGTCTGTTGTTTGATGGTATTAAAGAACTCACACTGCAGTTGTGGAAACTTTTCAAATTTGTTCTGAGATTTTGTAGGACGCTACACTTGAAACTTGCAGCTTTTGTGATTATTTAACATTTCACATTTTTTTAACATATCCGTAAGCTGTACCAACCTCCATCTTTATGCGAGTCAATTTACAGGAAATGTTGTGTTGAATGATGGATCGGAAATGATGCTATCTGAGTATATTTAATTCTTTTTCAAGAGAATTCCATAGTGTAATGACATGAAAGTCCGTAGAGCTTGACTTGGGGTTTGATTGGATAAAGAATAATTGTGTTGGATAAAGAACAATTATTGGAAAATTTTGGATTTTAATAATTGTAAAGTGATTTTATATATAATTATCAAATTTTATTGTGATGTGATAGATAAATAGTAAAATAATGATTGATAGTTACAAATATGTAAGCAAATGAATAGTAGAATTTATGGAGAAGTGTGTAGTAAAGATTGATTTTTAATTTAACAATTGTTTTGTGAAAATGTGAGTAGAGTTGGGTGAGAATGTGAATTGGATGAATGATGTATTTTGTTTCGTCGGTGAGATGATTGGTTGAAATGTATCTAATCCAATCATATCTTTGATGTAAAATTTGACGCCTTTTGATTTTCTATGGAAGTTAATGAATCTTTTTCTAACTTTTTCCAGTTATTTTCATCATAGTCTCTGTTTAAGCTCGTGACTTCATTGTTGAATACTGTTGACTATCTTGAATAGGTGTAGTTGTGTTGGAAGGAATTAGTGTTACACAAAGAGTTCAAGCATTTGCTTCTGATTTGGTTTTATATTGTGAGCTAGTTTTTTATGTTGTGGTTTAGCCCTTTAGGACACGTTAACTCTTTGTATTAGGCTCATGAAGTGGGTGTTATTCTTTAGAGAGTAATCAAATTACCATTTCTTTTAAAGAAAGGCATTCCTGAAGACCACTTTCTGTTGGTTAGAATATATATCCTTTTGAAGATGAAAAATTTTTTGATGGTTTTGATTGTGCTTACATCATAATTTCTAGATGTATTTGGCTTTCAAATATTTTGGTTGATCCCAGGATAAATGGAAATGAAAATGGCACCGTAGAGTTCATTTATGAACAACAACACATCATTGGTAATAACTTGTAAAATTATGATATCTTCCAAACTGTCTGAGAATGCTTGTATTCAATACCATTTGGCTTGCTAGAGCTGTGTACTATTATGAAGTTGCTCTCTTAGACCTACATTTTTTTATAGAACTAATCCCTTCTTCTGGTAAGTCACAAACAACTCAAGTTAAATTCTTATTGCATTTTGCAGATTGTAGTAGGTGGAAGGAATAAGTATCTGATTAACGGGCATCTTGCTCAGCCAAGTCGAGTTCAGAATTTGTTCCACTCAGTGCAGCTGAATGTGAATAATCCACATTTTCTTATAATGCAAGGGCGTATTACCAAGGTGTTGAACATGAAACCTCCTGAAATTTTGTCTATGCTAGAAGAAGCAGCTGGGACAAGAATGTATGAAACAAAGAAAGAAGCCGCTTTAAAAACACTTGAAAAGAAACAGAGCAAGGTAGATGAGATTGACAAGCTTCTTGACCTTGAAATACTCCCAGCGTTGGAAAAACTAAGGAAGGAGAAGATGCAGTACATGCAGTGGGCAAATGGGAATGCAGAACTGGATAGACTCAAGAGATTTTGTATTGCTTATGAGTACGTTCAGGCAGAAAACATAAGGGATAATGCAGTTCAGTGTGTACAAGACGTAAGAAATAGGATGTTGGAGATTGATGGTACTGTTGGAAAGATGCAATCAGAAATGCAGGAGATGGAGAAACAGGTGTCAGAATTGATTGCTGAAAAGGAAGAAAGTATGGGTGGTGAAATAAAATTGTTATCAGATAAAGTAGATGCTCTTTCACGGGATCTGGTGAAGGAAACTTCAGTGCTCAAAAATCAAGAAGACAATCTTATGATTGAGAAAGGAAATGCAGCCAAGGTACATGGCCTTTGTTCTTTGCATTGACTCATTTTGGTATCCATATTTTCCCTTGCCATGTATTTCTGTTTGTCTTAATAACTTCATTTTCGTCATTTAATGTATACAGATTGAGAGGAATCTTGAAGAGTCGAAGCAAGCAGTTGGGGAGATGATCAATGCAGTAAAAAATGCTGAAGCAGGTGCTGCTGATCTTAAGAAAAGTGCGGAGGAGCTCTCAAAGAGCTTGGATGAGCATGAAAAGGAGTACCAGGTAAAATATTTATAAAGTTTGTCCAGATTAGTGCCAGATTGAGAATGCTGTTTCTTTATTATTGTTGGTTTGAATTATCCTGATATTATAGACATGTACTTTTGCAGGGTGTGGTAGCAGGTAAGAGCAGTGGAAATGAAGAGAAGTGCCTTGAAGATCAATTGGGAGATTCCAAGATAGCTGTTGGAAGGGCAGAAACCGAATTGAAGCAGTTGCAAACAAAAATAGTTCACTGTGAGAAAGAACTAAAAGAGAAAACAGGTCAATTATTATCAACCCGTGAGAAGGCTGCTGCCATAGAGAGTGAGCTCAATGTCAAAAGGAAAGAGGTTGAGAAGGTTAAAAATGCCTTGGAATCTACTTCGTACGATGAAAACATTATGGAAGCACTGCAAAAGGCATGCCTTTCTTCTGTTCCATATCATTGGTCTTTGTAAAAGACATTCATCTTCGACTCAACTTTTACAATAATTTATGTCAGGATCGCACTATAGAGCTGGAAATGGTGCAAAAATTTAGAGAGGAAGCGCGCACATTATCCTCACGGTTGGCTAATGTAGAATTCATTTACAGTGATCCAGAAAAGAATTTTGATAGGTCAAGAGTGAAAGGTGTGGTCGCAAAGCTAATTAAAGTGAAGGATAGTTCTACAATGCTTGCCTTAGAGGTTACCAGTGCAATT